TTATTATAATTACAAATTATTATTAACAAGAATAATTATTTCCAAACACAGCACTAGAGCACTTCACTTGAACACAACTGACCACTAGGAGGCCATCCACACGACTGAAGAAAATCTTACCAGACGCGCCTTTAAGTAGGCAAAAGTTCCGCTCAAACTTGAGCACAATCTCAATGATGAGCACGATCATGAGGAGAGCCTCGAAGAGCAGGTAGACAGGGTGTGAGCTGATCAGCTTGAGTAAGCAATTTGACACTCACACACTTACACTTGCATTCACTCAGTTGCTCTCTCCCATTCCCATTCTCATTCCCATTCTCATTCCCATTCCGATTCCCATTCCCATTCCCATTTCCCGTTCCCATTTCTCTGTCCCATTCTCTCCCCTGCTCACCCCTTTTCAATGCCCAACGACAAGTAGTCATCGTGCTCCTCCGTTGTGCCCTGCCGTCCCGTCCAGAGTATCACGCCGTTCTCCGAGTGCGTCTTGATGCGCAGATTGAGATCGATGTTGTAGCTGATGACCTGGCTCATGGTGTCCGCATCGTTGTAGTGGAAATAGCTGTCGGTGCCGGCGAAGCAGGCGCCAAAATTCTTGCGCACGCTCTGCACCTGCGATTGATGCTCCGCAGACAGATCGAATTTCTTCAGAAGACTCCAGTCGGTGTGCGTTTGGGGTGTGCTCGCAGCAACAGCTGGAGCCACCGGCTCCGATTTGAGCACGGGTGTTAGCAGCTCATCGTCGTTGTATTCCTCGCTGTACTGCGGCTCAACTGGTGGCTGCTGCTGGCGCTGCTCCTCCTGGTTAACTTTTTTCTGCGCGTGTGTGTGCGTGTGTGTATTGGACATGATGCGCTTCATGTCCTGGGCCAGCTGCTTGCGTTGATAATCCTCAGCGCCGTCGTTGGCATCAAACAGTGACTCATCGAAAACAAAACCACTTGCATCAGCATCCCCATCCGCTTCCGCATCTCCAGTGGCCACATCAACTTCCGCCGTCTGGCCCCCCACTTGACTGGTCGCCATGGCATCCGCATACTCCTGCTGCTGCATGCTGGCCACCCAATCGTTGTTATCATCGAATGTTAGTATATCGCTATCCGGATTTGTTTGGAAACTTTCGTAGTGTGTGGGCAGGCGGGCAAGCTTGTGCGCAAAGGTGTTCGGCTTCTGATGGTGCTCGTGCTTGCTCACATGCTGCTTGCCCACGAGTGGGGCCTGCTGCAGCCCCACAATGGGGCTGGGCGCCTTTGCGGCATTCTCATGCACAAAGCGAAAGATGATATCGTCTTCGATTTCCTCATTGCTGGGCGCACCACCCACTGCAGCTGGTGTGGGTGGCTTGGCTGTAGTCGTTGTCGTTGTGGTGGTGGTGGTGGTGGTTGAAGTGGTGCTGGTGCTAGTGCTGCTGCTGGTGGTTGCAGGTGCCGTCTTGTGCTTATGCATATTCTTGCGCTTTGAGGAATGCTTCTTGTGCGCCCACAATTTCTTCGACTCAACTCCTTTGTATTGTTTGGCCTCAAGTGGCTGGCCATTGTGCTGCTTGTGCAGCATCAGCTCCGGCAGCTGCTCGGGCGGCACTTCAGCTGCCTTGTTGCAGCGCTCGTTGTAGATGCTGCAACGGCACTCGTAGCTCTCCATCTGCGGCACACACTCGGCCAGCGGTCCGCAGGGCCGGGCCACACAAGCGTGCGGGCAGTTGCCAATGTTGCTGCCGCCCAGCGCCTCCGCCACAATGCCCAGCGAGTGGCCATTGATGTCAATCTGTGGTGCAAATTGGTGTCTGGTTAGTCGGGCCAGCCGCCTGATAGCTTAACCTATGTCAACTTACGCGCTGAATGCAGCCCACAAAGAAGGACTTGTACTTGAGATCCAATGGCAGACGGTCCACATGATTGACGCCGCCCACAAATAGGTTCTGCGCCAGCGACAGATGCCAGAAGCCATTCGAGGAAATAGTCATGACCTCCTGATGCTGATCGATCTGCAAATGAGAGGGAGTAACAGAGTGGGAGTGAGAGTGAGCCAGAGTTCGGCTTGCTTTTGGCATACCTTAAGCACAGCCAGGCGTGCGGTCCTTGAGATCTTGATGGTGTGCCATTGTCCCAGACTCAGCGAGTGTTCACTGCTGCTGATTAAGAGGCGAGTTAGCTAAGTGCTGGCCACCTTTTGCTGCAGTTTACTTACCGCACCACCGCTGGGCCGCTGCCCAAATCAAAGGCAAACTCCACAAAGCCATCGTGCAGATACAAAGCTATAAAATCGCCGCGTTGCTCCGGCCCCGAGTAGAGTATCAGACCGTCCGGCTGCTCCGGCTTCAATATGACCTTCAGCTCCAGCCAGATCAAAGCGCTGTCGCCCAGCGGCGCATAGCGCAGAAAAGAGGAGCCATTGAAGGCGGGCACCTAATGAAAGGGCAATACTATATAGAACTGCTTTGGTTAGCTTTCCACTCCACTCCCCACTCACCTGCAAATCCATGCGTATCTCGCACAAATCACCGACAAAGCCAATCGGACACAGGCAAACAGCGCCCTGATCCGAGGGCAAACACTTGCCGCCATGCTGGCAAGGATAACGCACGCACTTGTCCGTCGAGCAATCCTCTGATGAACAAACAAACAAAGTAGTATATACTCTATTTATATATATGTATATGTAAGTCACTTACGTATATCGAAGCCATTGATGACATCGCCCAGCGGATGCTCCGTGAACTTGTAGTCGTGCTCGTTGGCCACGAAGCGGCGAATGCAGCCGGCAAAGCCCTCGGCCAGCGGCAGACGCTTGGCCAGGCCCGTGATGTTGCCAATGCCGCCCAGAAAGACCGGCTCACGGAATGTGATGCGCGAGAAGAGACCCTGCCACATGGAGCACATTGAAATGGAATTGCTTGAATTGCTAACAAATAGCGAAACTCACATTCGATCTGCCCTGGACTTTGGTGCCGTGATTGAGCACCAGCCAGGCATCCCAACGATGGCGATAGATAATCACCGAGTTCCACTCGTTCAGCATGATGGTCTCTCTGGATCGCACGCTGCCCACGCCGGAGCCGCAATCGAACCAGAACTCCACGAAGCCCTTGTTCAGCAGCAGGGCCATAAAATCGCCAGTTAGATCATCTCGCTCCCCGCTCAGCAATATGATGCCATCAAAGGATTCTGGACGGAATTCCAGCCGCAGCTGAACATGCTTATAGGCGCCGTGGAGTGCCGGAAATGCCAGCCAGGAGCGCTTCGCAAAGCGTGGCACGTGCGCCCTGATATCTGTGCGAAAGATTACCCATTAGCTGACTATATATATAAAAATGCAGGTAACATGGCCATTAAATGCCACACACACACACACACACACAGGCCCACACACATACCTTCCAGGCAATTTTCGCCCGTTTTGCCAAATGGGCACAAACAGCGCGCTGTGGACGCCGTTGCCTCCAGAGCACAAATACCCTCTGCGCCGCAATCCAGATTGCAAAGTGTGCTGTAAAGTGAATGGTAAATGTTAAATGGGATACATAAACATTGTATTTAAGCAGATATCAAAGGGTTATGACGATACTAGATTAAACAGCTAATTAAGTATGGGGATAGAAACTATCCAATTGGTTTAATATTTCCCGAATTGTTCTTAATTTAAAAATCAAATGATTATAAGTTCAAAATGTGTTGAGAAATTATATAAGATAATATAATAATATATAATATAACAGATCATAATAT